CAGTAAAAAGGCGAGCCCCAGCCAAAAAACTAAACTCGGCTACGACAACGATCAAATGCCCATGCAGTTGCGACCACGCTGCCCTTGCTGTGGCTGCCGACAACTACCACCCGCCGGAAACTCCCCGCGTCTGGATCAACAGGACCCCTGTGGCTACGACCCTACAGACCCCTGCGACCAGATGCTCTACGAAGAGTACTATCAGAGCTTCGCTGAAGTCTGTCCACCCCACCGACGATACTGCGCTCAGCTTCAACGTGCTATGCACACGCCCTGTTGCGTTGCCAGCGGCCCTCAGGCTCAGGCATACATGGTAACGTCCCCACAACCAGCAGCACCCATACCAACACCACCGCCACAAGGACAGTGCTATGGGAACCCTAATGGAGGCTATGACCCCTGTTGCTGTGAGGGGCAGTCAGCTCAGCCGTGTTATGAACGAAGAAGGCAGTGTTAATTAGTTCGATGCTTATTTTGTCATCTTTTTGTCTTTTTTATTCTGACTTTTACTTGCACTCTCTAATTTACCGAGTTTTTAGAAGCCTCCTTTTTTAATTTTGCAATAAATTTATTTCGGTGCTTCTATAGCGTGATTCCTATACCACCGGTGTCCTGTCGTTCGTGATTCCTACGCTAATAGGTACTGGGAAGGTTATATATGTGTCGTCTTTATTGTGAAAAGGTAAATCTGAATTAAATACTAACAATTATGCAAAAAATACTTCTTTACTATCGCCTAAGATAAAATAGTTCTCATTTCTTTTCAAACGCGTCAGTAGTATTCCTCCATGTGACCGTGAACTAGGTGCTTCAAACTCTGAATCGTGCGAACTCACCGACTCCTTTCGATTTACTGGGCGTGCAAACCTGTACTCAAATCAACAAAATTTTGCGGATAATTGAGGCTTTTGTGATCATGACCAGCCTGATCAAATGGCCGATAAGCTAGCCAACTCTCAGAGTGTATTTTTTAACTTGTATTAACTTCGCGTTCTATGATGGAGATCAACGTCGGTGTATCATGCTTGTGTTTGTAGAAATACCCAACAGAATATTCCCCATCTCATGAAATGCCAACCGAAATTCTGAGATGTGACTTTCATTCGAACCCTACTTGCGCATGACCATGACTGTTTTACCATCACCAATGATTAAGGATTCCCGACGGAATCCGAAACGTTAAGCAAATAAAACTCTTCTTCCAGTGATCGTATCCTTTTCTTCTGTACTTGAGCAGTGTTCTAATACTGATTATCCTACAGGCTAATCCAAAGATATTTCGTTCACGTCAGAGTGCCAGCTTCTAAACGTACTCTATTCGGACTGCATGCCTCAATTATACTCCGTACAAAATAGTTGCTGATGTAGTATGCATTTTCACATTAGTTTTCAACGCCCTTAGAAAAATGGCCAAATATATATTTATTGTCGTACTCACTTGGCAGAAAACCACGCCTTCTTCAGTTTTAATACTTTAAGAAAAGGCACCTTTCGGTTCAAAAAAAGGTTCCTAATTACGATCTTTTATACCATCGTGAAATGTTCATTCAGAATACATCGTATCCGTCAATTTATTATTGTTGCCTGTAAAGTATACAACAGGATCCACATCGATTTCAAAATTTTATGAGGACTATGTGACATTTTTCTCATAAAGTAGAAAAAGTGTGTACGTTTCCCTAGAAAAAATATATTCAACATATAATTCGATTGACCCAATTGTGAAAAATTCGCGGCCTCGGTTGTAATCACTGTTTCGTCTCTTGGCTTCTCCGACTGTATCCAGCAGCCACGCGTCCGCCAAAACTATTGATAACAGTAATCAAGGTGGTACTTGTACTTGTTACGGCTGTGATCATGCCTGATCCAGCCAGCCTCAATGATGTCACGAACGGTACCTCTCCATGCGTGGCGAT